AAAAAAAAAAAGGCATCAAGATTGGAAAAGAAGTAAAACTTTACAGGTAAACATAAAAACTCCTAAGAAGCACATGACAAAATGATATCAAGGTTCCAAGATACAAGATCAATACACAAAAATCAGTTGTACTTACTTGCATCAGCAATAAACGAAATTAAAATACCATTTTCACAGCTGGGTGTGGTAGTGCACACCTGTAATCCCAAGACTTGGGAAGCTGAGGCAAGAGGATCACTACAAGTTTGAGGCCAGCCTGAACTACATAGCAAGACCCTGTCTCAAAAAGTAAAATAATTGTGAATACAGAAGTATAAACTCATAAAACTAGAAAGCACTATTGAATGAAGTGCATAGACATCTGTGTTCATGAAATTGGTCCCTTAACTCACATAGCTCCAAATTTAAAATGGACCAAACATCTAAATGTAAAGTATATGGGCTGTATCAAAATTAAAATTTTGTGCTTCAAAGGACAATGTTAAGAAAAAGGAAAGATAACTGAAAGAATTGGAGAAAATATTGACAAAATCATGTACTTGTCAAGGGTCTAATATCCAGAGTATGTAAAAACTTGTGAAAGGCTGTGGGTTCAATTCCCAGTACTGGAAGGGAGGGGAAAAAAAGGCAAAGAATCTGAGTATACATTTTTCCAAAGATACAAAAGTGATTATTATCAGGAAAAGATGTTCAACATCGTTTTTTTTAAGGACAAGGGCTGGCAGTGCATGAAATCCTGGGTTTGATATCCAGCACAACACCAAAAAAAAAAAAAAAGACAATTACAAGTATTGGCAAAGATACAGAGAAAACAGAACAGAACAGAAAAATGGTCATCTATTATGGAAAAGCATTAAAGAATTTGGTAGTTCCTCCAAATGTTGAAAATAGTGTTAAAATATAACCCAGCAATTCCATCCCATATACATCCCCACAGAAAAAAAAACTTGTAAAAGAAGCTGGATATGATGGTACAGGCCTATAATTCTAGCATTTAGGAGGCTAAGACAAGGGTATCATGGGTTTGAAGCCAGCGTGTTTCGAACAAAACAAACTTGGATTAAAATGTGCATAGCAACATTGCTCCTAATAGTCAAAAGTGGAAATAAATACCCATCAATTTGTTATCAATTTTTCTTTCCTCCGGGTGTTTTGAAGACAACAAAGAATGAAGTCTATGAAAAGCAGTGGGGACTGAACTGGGTATAGTTTATTAGAACAAAGAAAAGCTCTCACTAGCCGATAGGGGCTCCAAGGAAGGATGCCATGGAGGGCCTAAGTTCAGGGGTTTATATGTAGACTTTGGCATGAAAATGAAATAATGTACTTGCCACTTTTGGCCAGGCTTCTGATGTCTAAAGGGCAAACTTTTTTTTTTTTGGTACCAGAGATCAAACTCAGGATCTTGAGCTTGCAAGGCAGGTGCAGGAACCACTGAGCTAAATCCCTGGCCCAAGGGCAGACTTTTCTAACATCCCAACTCTTTAGGGCTATTTCTATCTAAGCCCTTGTCTATTGAAATAATGTAGTTGCTGTTTTTAACTAGGTCTTTGACTTCAGGAGGGCTGACTTCCCTTTTAGTCTTGGAGCTTATTTCAGTTTATTTAGGCCCTTATTCTGTCTATTGTTTTTTGTTTTTTTTTTAATTTCCTAGTCTCAGTACCCTCACAACAGTGGTGTCCCTAACTGCTGTTAGGGTTGAGGGGCCCTTAGTCATTCTAGCTGCTTTCAGCTGAGGGAGCATTGACAGGGTGGCAGACAGGGTCTACCACTATCTAAGGGCCCTCAGTAGAAACCAAGAGGAGTGTCTTAGGCCTGTCTGCACCACCATCTATAGATTTAAGACTGTTAAATAGGAAAAAAACAAATTTAACTAAGATTGAGTATGCATGGTCCAAATAACAAGGCTGTAAGAACCATTAGCAATGGTGCTGGTCATGGTGGTGTATACCTGTGTAATCCCAGCATGTACGAGGCTGAGGTAGGATGATTGCCACATGTTCAAGGCCAGTCTGGACTTAGACAGTGAGTTCAAGGCCAGCCTGAACTACATAGTGAGACTTTGTCTCATAAAAACAAAACACAAAACAAAAAATGAAGCATTAGCAATGTTTCCACAAGGAGGATTAACTAGGATGTCCAATTCCAGATTGCTGACCAGGCTCTGCATGGCCCAGATAATTTTTGGCAGATCTTAGAAGCACAGTTTTTGTGTTACATCCCTCAGTATTTTATACTGGTTGGCATTTAAGTATTTTCCTTTAGGAGCAGACATGGTTCCACCCCCCCCCCGTTTTGTTTTTTAGGAGTCAGGAGGTCTAATCCCTTCCAATTTTGTAGAGCCACTGCTGCTAGTGAGTCTGTGCCATTTGTTGTAGACTTTTAGCAAAAGACAGAGCTGGTTGAAATAGTTAAGAATATGGTGAGACCCACAAACTCTGTACCAGTCTCCACTGTTATCTCTAATCCTATCAGTAAGAGGATAAACTGGATTGTCTTTGTGTGTGGGGGGGGGTATCACTTCAGCTGGAATTGAAACCAGGCAGAAGCCTTTAAGAAGGTCAAGCAAAAATAGGTGTTAGAAGGACAGTGAAGAAAAGGGGCTTCTGGCAGCACAGGGGCCTATAATCCCTTTGGTTGCTAATGTATTAAGTGTGTCCACACTTAGAGAAATTGGACCCTGGTCCTGTAAGGGACTGAAAGGGAACCTGCTGCTGTTTTGACTGTGTCTGTTTTATTTATGAGTCAGCTTTCCCTCATCTAGATATAAGTAGTACTGTCCTCCTCTGTGTGTGAACTGGGCACAAGTAGTTCCTTTGGGAACAATTTGCCCAGCATGTGGGATTTAAAATCTGGGCAGTTTTCTGTAAGTCTGTAGTGGGAATTGCCTATTTGCATGACTAAATGTTGGGCTGGAACTGATTTTAGGTTTCTTATGTATGTGGGTGCCATGACCCAGTAGATCTTAGGGAGATTAATGTTTATGTTATCAGTCTGTCTGTAAATGGTGAGAACAGAGTTACAGTGAAGAATCTGAGTCCCTACAGGTTTGGAAAAATGTGTGGGTGTTTGTGAGGTATTTATGTAAAGGCTTGAGGAGAATGAATTACCTATGGTAAGTTTAGCAGCCTCTGGAATCAACAAGGCAATGGCACCAATTGCCCAAAGACAGGCTGGCCAGGCTTTGGCTAACAGGTATATTTAAGCAAAGAAATAAGTCCCTCAAGGAAGGCTAAGGGGAACTCTTTCTTTTTCTGGGTAATAGTTAGAGCCATGATGGCTATCCTTTTAGAGCTTTCAATGATGCAAACGTCCTGCTTTGGTACACTACCATAGGTTCACCACCATTGGTTTAGAGGTTTGACACAGATCCTTAAGAGGCCCTCTAATATACAGGCCAGGAAATGTCTGTCTCTGAAATCCCACTCCCTTTTGGTCCATAGGGTCCCATAAAAGGGCTCAAGAGGAACTACTATTGCCCTTGGCTAGAAATGGTTTCAGCTTCTTGTCAGGCAGCGTTATCACTCACCCCCAAAAGCCCGTGCTTTTCTCAGACCTGTCTCTGAGGTGGAGAGGCTGTGGCTCAAATGGAGTATCACGTACCTCCACAAGGTCAAAATTATGGGCCATTTCTCTGAATACTTCTAGATATCAGGGTGCTCTGAAAATTTTCCTGGGTCTGCACTCATCTGTCAGAGGTCTCCCAGGGGAAAAATGAAAGGCACCTGAGCCTTCCTGGGTGTCCCTCTGGCTATTGCTCCCATCACCTGTAAAGGAAGCAAAGTGGGGTGTCGTCCCCCATTCCTGCACGGGGCGGGGGTCGGCCTCAGGATAGAGGGAACAGGAGGCCTCTTCAGGAAGTTCCTCCTGGGAGGGGAAGGGATGAGGACAGGAGGGCTCTTCAGGAGTTTTTTGGGGAAGGAGGGAGAGAGATCCCCTCGGGCTGAAGGGGTAAGGGTTGCCAGCAGGGGTGAGTTTATGCCACATGACCTGCAGAGGTCAGGATTGTCTTTCAAAGAATACAGCCTGCACATAGAGTACTTCAGACCATTTACCTGCCTTTTGCAAAATAAGTCTAGTTGAAGAACCATATTTGTTTTAGTTTTGTTTTTATTTTTTGGTACCAGGGATTGAACTTGGGACCTTCCAATTGCGAAGTAGGCAGTAGAACCAGAGCTAAATCCCCTGCCTATCCATATTATAATTGATACTCCCCTCCATCAATCATTTTTCTTTATTACCCAAGGAATAGCCAGGCCATCTGTGGGTAGAGATTAAGTGTTTTTCTTTTAGGCCTGAGGGCCAAACAATTTCAAATTGTTTTTTTTCTTTTTTTTTTCAGACATGGTCTTGGTATGTAGTTCAGACTGGCCTTAAACTTACTATGTAGCCCAGGCTGGCCTCAAACTCATGGCAATCCTGCTTCAGCTTCACAGGTGCTGGGATTCCAGATGTGCAACACCACACTTTAAGGAGTGGGCCACCACGCCTGGCCTCTTGTATGCTTTTTTATTTTTTTGATACTGGGGATTGAACTTGGGACCTTGCCCTTGCAAGGCAGGTGGCAGAACCATTGAGCTAAATCCCCCACTATGTCTTTTTAAATTAAATATTATCAATCATGTTCCCTATTGGGAGACATAAGTTTAATCTCCTAAACAAAACAAAACAAAACAAAACCCCCCAAAATCCAGCTATGTTCTGTCTCGAGTTTCCCCACAAAAATAAACTTAAGAACAGTGATTTTATTCCTGTCTATGCACTGTGTAACTATATATACTGACAAAACTATTGGTTTCCTTTTGTCTGGAATGCTCTACTTTGAATTTAAGCCAATGTAATCAGAAGCCAAAAATGATACACGCTTGTGGAGGTAGGCAGATTGAGACATCTGGGGAGGTTAGGGTATAGCTAGCTAGGTGGTACAGCACTTAACTAGAATATGCCAGGTCCTGGCTCTCTTGCCCAGTATTGGAGATAAAAAAGACATGGGATCTTTAGAGGCTTTAAGAGATTTATGTTTTATAAATTAAGAGTCTATTTTTCTCACAGTTTGCAACTAAGCCTGACACACATTAACCACAACTGGTAAACCTTTGACTTAAGTTGGGCAGTACTTTCAAAGATGGAACCCATGAAGTTAATGTGATCCAAGGGTAGAGTTAGAAGAAGGAAAAATTACATTCATACTGTAAGTAGTATAAATCAGCTTGAAATGAAGGAAATCATGCAATTAGCCACTAACAGAACAATAAAGAATTGTGCCTAAAGTTCTGTTAACACATAACTGAGAAGTCTGGGTCTAAGATTTGAAAACATTTTGAGTAACCTAATCATAGAACTCTTCTAAAAGTGGCTAAGCATAGTGGTACACACCTGTAATCCAAGTACTCTGGGAGGCTGAGGCAGAAAAATCCAATTCCAACCCAACCCAGGCTACATAGCAAGACCCCGTTTCAAAATAAAAAAGGACTAGGGAAGGCAAGTCAGTGTGAAGGCCCTGGGTTCAAAAAAGTATTTTCTAATTAAATTCTAACAAGTGGAACATTCACAATATCTCACTTTCCAGGCGGAAGCTGTGCCAGGTGACTAAATGAATTTAATTCTGGGTTCATGTGTCCTATGAACCTGTGAACTTTTGCTTTTTTTTTTTTTTTTGGTTGTTTTTGTGAGACATGGGCTAAATCCCTAAATTGCCCAGACTGGCCTCTAACGTGCGATCCTGCCTCAGTATCCTATAATGTTGAGATTACAAGCATTACACGATGCCCACTTAAGGGCTGAGTATCTTTTAAAATGTAGCTTTCTACCCATTTCATAATCATATAATCATCTGAAGAGCAAATAAGGAAATCAAGCCTCGTCCGATCCTCTCCATTTTTGTTAAGTAGGACCCAAATGTGTTACAGCAAGCAAACTTCCTCCTTCTCATGTTGCTCAAATACACACCTGGCGTGCCCTATTTAACAGAATCTATCTACACGCTGTATTTCCTCTTTAGCGGCCTGGTCGCCAATACTTCCTTGAATGGCTTTTTTCATTGATTTCGCGAAGGGTTGGGATGAGAGCCACAAGCAGTATTTCCACACATGCCACAACTAATTCGCACCTATTCTTAACAGATTCAGGGGGCTTGGCTCGATGCCTTTCCCAACCCCTGACTTTTCTAGTTCTCAACACACAAGAAGGAAACAACGTACAAAAGAACGCAGCGACAGCCTTTCAGTCGACTTCAACTGAGCTGAGACGTCCACGAATGCACCAAAGCATCCGCAGTGTCCCAGCGGAGTCCAAGGCCACGCCGCCCTGTGCCAAGCTCTGCCGGAGGTGCAGCAGGAGCGGAAGCCTCGCCCTCTGGCTGCCCCGTGATGTCCCCGGCAGCCGGAGAAGCGCAGGCTGGCTCGGAGACCAGACGCTGGCACACAGCAGCTGTCGGGAAAGTAGAAGCCTCGCTCAGGACCACGGGCCTCGGCCGGCACAGAGAGCCCCGAGGGAGCGGGTAGGTCTCCCGTTGTGCCCTACTCCTCTTTACTCTCCCCTCCCGATAGGACAACGCTCAGCAATGGCAAGGCAAAGCCCGTCGAATCCAGCACTCTGGCAAGCCCACCGGGAGATCCAAAGCCGCCTCCTCGCCCCTGTGGGGAAAATGGCGCCTGTCACCCCTTCTCCCTCCCGGGTAATCACAAGGACCAGCCTCCCTCCCTCGATACAAAATGGCGGCTTCTGCAGGGGCCCCAGAATCGGCATAACTTACTTGTCAGTGAGGTGGAGTCGGTCAGGGATGGGCGGTTCTACCAACCAGTCAGACTCGGGAGGTTTGATTCCGCCCTTTGCGGGAGCCACTCAGGCGCGAGCTGGAAGGCCGGGGTGATATGATGTCACGAGGAGGGGCGTGACGAAAGGCGGTTCCTTTACAGGAGGCTAAATTTGGACCAATGGCTAGCAGGAAGAGTCCCATGAGTGACGTAAAGATAGCCCAATGGAGGCTGGGGGCGGGCTTCAAACACGCTATGCGTGTTGCTGGGCCTGGGGGCCGGGCGGCTGTTTCCTGTCCTGGTGCATGGTGGTCGGACGAAGGAATTGTTGGAAAATTTTCTCGGAGGTTCGTATATAAATGTGTTTTTACCCAGTGTGCATTATTCTCCGCCCGGCCGCCGCCCTCAGCGCGGCGGCGCGGGCCCGCTTGGGCCCGGGCCCCGGCTCCCGCTCCTCAGCCTTGGCCGCAGGCCCTTGCCGATCCTACGGCCGCTTCGGTAGCCGCGCCTGGGCAGAACCGGAGTTTATTAATAACCTGCGACCGCCACTCTGGGGCGGCGGAGCCTTTCTCGCTGAGGACGCACCCCCCACTCTCTGTCTCTGCTCGTCGCGCCCCGCCTGTTCCCCTTAGGGGACCGCCAAGGGGAGGGAGAGGAGGGGAGGGTGTGTCCCGGCCCGACCTCCTCGCGGAGCGCCTTCTCCGAAGAGCCGAGGCGAAGCCGCACGGGGTGGGACGCCCGGCCCACGGCTCGCACCGGGCCCAGCGGGGGCGCGGGCTGCGGAACTGGCCGAGGGCCACTCGGGACCTCGCCTGCAGATCGCACCCAAGATTTCCTCAGATCGCCAGCAGATTCCCTGTGTCCCTCGTATCTCCTTTTTTAAAATATCGCTGAGGCCTAGTAGTGAATATTAAATTTAGCAGTTTATTGTTCCCCTCTTTTCCCAGTTTTAGTCAAGAGTAAACAGATCGTTACAGTTCCTTGTAATGTTTTATTGTGAGTTAGCCAATTTTTTTCCCTTCCTTTTTTGCTTTTATAACATTTTCCCCCACATTACAACGAAGTTTTAAAAAGTAGTAAAGAATACCACTGCCAGCCTATTGTTTAAAATCAGCTTCTGCCTTTGCTTTCAAAGTGTCTAAATCAGCTGGCATAGTGAAGTGGGAATGTGATAAACTGTAGATTGCACCCTGGTCTTTGATCTTACTAGAAGATACCGTACGAACTTGTGTTTTTCTGTAGTTAGAGAAAACCAGTGTGATAATTTAATACTTTTGCCGAGTACGTGATTTATTCATTGTTAGATGTTTAGTAAAACAATGTGATGAAGAGATCGTCTCAAAGCACCAGTAAGATGAATAAGTAGTTTTATCCTGCCATATTTTGATTGTTTGGAAACTTTTAAAAGTGAATTGGCTGTACCAATATTTCCCCTCCTCTATCCCCCCTCCCTTACCGGAGATCGAACTCAGGACCTTGCATTTGTGAGGCAAGGCGCCATTGAGCTAAATCCCCGGCCCTCCTCTGTTTTTTAAAAATAACAACTTTTTTGTGGGGTTTTTTGGTACTGGCGCTGGAACCCTGGACCTTGCGCTTGCGAGGTAGGCGTCAGATCACTGAACTAAATCCCCGGCCCTAAAAATATCAACCTTTTTTTAACCTAATTCACATACAGTTAACCATTTTAAAATGTATAGTTAGTTAGAAGAGTTTCAATATATTCAGTTAAACATTTACTTTATAAATTTTTTAATTTTTCTTTTTTTTTTTTTGGTACCAGGGATCGAACTCAGGTCCTTGTGCTTGCGCAGCAGGCGGTGAAACCACTGAGCTAAATCTCCGGCCCCTATATTTTTTAATTTTTTAGGGTTTTTGAGATGGGGTCTTGCTCTGTAATTCAGGCCAGCCTTGAACTCACCATGTAGCTGGGGCTGACCTTCAACCCACAGCAGTCCTTCTGCCTCAGCCTCTCAAGGGCTGGAATTACAGGCGTGTACCACCGGCCGTGCCAGCTCATTTGTTTCATATTTTTTACAAAATTTTTGTTGTTTTTGGAGACAGGGTCTCACTGTGTAACCCAGGCTGGCCTCGAACTCACAGTGATCCTCTTGCCTCAGCCTCCTGATTTCTGGGATTACAGGTTTGTGCTATCATCCCAGCTGTACATTTATGAAATCAGGCCCACTTACAGATATCAACAGTTAATTTTAGGACATGTTCATTACCCCAAAAAGAAACTTTCTCCTCATTTCTTCTCACTGCCTCCTCCCAATAGATTTGCCTGTTCTGGACCTTTCAAGTTATTAGGATCACATGATATGTGTGTGTGAGTGAGAGAGAGATAGAGAATGGTTTTTGCTTAGCATACTATTTGCCAGATTCATTCCTCTTATATGAGTACTTTAATTTCTTTTTCCTGCCAAATGATATCATGGACATAGCACATTTTGTCCATTCATCTACTGATGGACATTTGGGTTGTTTCCATCTTTTTTTTTTGGTACCGGGGATCACCCAGGATCGAATTCAGGACCTTGCGCTTCCCAGGCAGGCACAGAACCACTGAGGTACATCCCCAGCCCTGGTTGTTTCCATCTTTTGGATGTAATGTGTCATGCTTTTATGGAAATTTATGTATCGGTTTTTGTGTGGACATAGGTCTTTATTTCTCTTGAGTATGTATACCTAGGAATGAAACTGATGGGTTATATTGATAACTGTATGTTCAACCTTTTATTTATTGATTGATTTATTTAGTTTTTTGCTGTGTGGTTCAGGCTGGCCCTGAACTAACTCTGTAGCCCAGGCTGACCCTGAGATCCTCCTGCCTCAGCAATGAGGTTTTTAAACCTTTAAAAGAACTATCAAATAAAAAAAAAGAAAAGAAAAGAACTATCAAATTGGTTTCTGGGGGCTGGATGTGAGCATGGTGGCCCACACCTATAATCTCAGCACTTGGGAGGTTGAGGCAGGAGGATCACCACAAGTTCAAGGCTTATCTAGACTATGATTAAGTTGAAGGCCACCCTGAACTCTTGGCAAAACTTTGTCTCAAAACAAAAGAAAAAACTGGCTTCTGAAGTGGCTGTACCATTTACAGTCCTCCCCATCAGATACAAAGGTTCCACTTTCTCCACACCCTTGCCAGCACTTCTCAGTCTTTGAATTTGATTTGCATTTCTCTGATGGCTAAAGATGTTGAGCATTTTTCAAGTCCCCTTATCAGATAAATGATTTGCAAAATGATCAAAGACCTTTGCTGAGCATTGAAATATCACTCTGAAGTAGTTTCATTTGTATTCTTTGTAGAAAAATGACCTAACTGGATTGGAGAAAAGTAATCTGTTCAGCTGTTATTCCTTATTTAAAATGTATATATCCTTCATGATCATTTGAGAATTTTCTGAGTCTTGAGGTTTTCATCATTACTTAGTTTTCAGGGTTTTTTTTTTGCTGGGTTGGGGGTGTGGGGGGGTTGAATCCCTGACCTTCACACTGAGCTACATCCTCAATTTTTTTTTCTTCTTCCTGGTACTGGGGATTGAACTCAGGACCTTGGACTTGCAAGGCAGGTGTGGCGCCACTGAGCTAAATCCTGGCCCAAGTTGGTTTTGTTTTTAAATGTAGATTTAGACTGAGAACCCTCCCTCTTTCTCAAAATAGTTTTTGAAAATAGTGAACTCTTTATATATTTTCTTATAAATCTATAATCCCATTTTAAAACAATGCCTCAGTGGAAACTCTATACCCTGTAGAAATACTTGTCCATTATTAATGCATGCAGACATTTAACTCCTAACTACGTTTCTTTCTTTCTCTCTCTCTCTCTCTCTCTCTCTTTCTCTGTCTCCCTTCCTTCCCCTCCCCTCCCCTCCCCTTTCTTCCTCTTTTCTTTTCTTTCCTTTTCTTTCGGATTGAACTAGGGGCCTTGGGCTTTCGATGCAGGTGAAGGCACCACTGAACCAAATCCCCAGCCCATCTAACTGCATTTCTTAAAATTGCAGTCCAGGGTGGGCATGGTGGCTCATGCCTGTAATCCCAGCATTCAGGAGGTGGAAGCAGAAGGATCTTCGTGAGTTTGAGCCCAGCCTGGGCTACATAGTGAGTTCAAGGCCAGCCTGGAACATAGACCTTGTCTCCAAAAATCCTGCCCAAAAGCCCCCAAAAAATTCTCATCTCATTTTTGTAGTACTTAACTAACAGTGGCTATGCACTGAGTTCAGTGACTTGTGTGTTTTATGTATATACATTAAACTTACAGTCCTCATTACAAATCTAAACAAATAACTAAATTTACCCCTATTTTGTAGGTAAGTCAGCTAAAGTTAAGAGTAAGTTGTCCAACTATTACACAGTAAAGCTGAAACATGAACCTGTGACTGGCTCAGAAGCTCATTCTCTCAACTGAGATTTTCATTACCCTGTGGGATTTACAGTAACCTACCAAGTACTTTCCTTTTTTGGAGGGGGAAGCTACCGGTGATCAAACTCAGGTCCTTGCGCCTGCATAGCAGGCGGCAAAACCATTGAGCTAAATTCCGGGACCTCCTTTTTTATTTCACGTCAGATGGGTAATGTGCCAGTGTCGTAACAAGGTTTGTGGGAGGCACATCTCATGCACCACAGCATAAACACTCAGTCATCACACTCATGAACTGAAGGATCAGTACTCGCCTGTTTAACATCTGAAATACAAGATATCAACTGGGCATGGGAGCATCTCACCTGTAAACTGCAGCTCTCTGGGAGGCTTAAGGCAGGAGGATTGACATTTTGACCCCAGCGTTGTAGGGAGACTCTTATCTCAAAATATAAAAAGCGTTGGGGGTGTAACTCTGCTCAGGCTCTGGGTTCAAACCCTAGTACAGGAAAAAAAGAAAAATCTGTGGTCCCTAGAATAATACAGTATTTTGAATACTGTACATAGGTATATCACTCGTGTTATTGTATTATTTATGCACATCCTTAATGATAAATACATTTGTCCCTGTATTAAAAATGTAATAGAAAAAAAAAATGTAATAGGGCCAGGGATTTAGCTCAGTGGTTCCAGCGCCTGCCTTGCAAGTACAAGGTCCCAAGTTCGATTCCCGGTACCAAAAAAAACCAAAACAAATCAGCAAACAAAAAATGTGATAATTTAAGGCTGGGGATTTCACTCAGTGGCACTGTGCCTGTCTCGCAAGCACAAGGTCCTGAGTTCAAACCCTGATACCAAAAAAAAAGAAATTTGAATAGTATGGATATAATAGTCACAAGAAATTGGAATAATTTGAATTAATAGTAGCTTATACATGATAAACACATACAACAGAATATTGTACAAAGTGATGGACAGATAAACTTTTACCAGAGACCCCTGCAGTTAGGTTCCAGCACCCACCTGCCCAGTATACGACTCAGGCCTGAGGAAAAAAATATATATATACTAAGAGAATTGAGGCCGGGGATTTAGCTCAGTGGTTTCCCTGCCTGCTACACAAGCACAAGGACCCGAGTTCCATCCCCAGTACCAAAAAAAAAAACCAAAAACATACTAAGAGAACTAAGAGAAAAAGGTTGCCAGGATGACCAATGGTGGTCAAAACTGACAAAGGTGCTGGGCAGTCCCAGGCATTGACTTTTCTTTCTTTTTTTTTTTTTTGGTACTGGGGATTGAACTCTGGACCTTCCACTTTCGAGGCAGGTGCCGGAACCACTAAGCTAAATCCCCGGCCCCCAGGTATTGACTTTTGGCAGTCAATTGGGGTAAAGGCAAGCTCCGAAAACAACAACAACAAAAATTTTAAAAAACAAACAAAAAAAGGCAAGCTCCGTACAATTTCTATGGAAATTAATGTAAACAAGGCTCATAAAGGACAAGACAAAGCATTCTCTCGAATTAGGAACAGAATAGACAAAATATGTGGTTATAATTAGAACATTGTCCTCCTAGTCAGAAGCTTTTAGTTGTGGGAACCAAATTTGGGTGCGAGTTACTCTGACCTTGACATGTAGGCTTCAATCAGACCCCTCAAAACAAGCCAGTTGAGGGGTTAAGTCTTTACAGCCTGCTTTGGGCATAATCAATTTTAAAGTCCTCTGCACACTAATCTTGCCTCAGGGTGGTAATTAGCCAAAACTGCCTACCAGTTTTATTAATTTGTTCATCAGATATTTAGTAAGCTTGTATTATGTGCCAGGCCTTCTCATAGGTATTGAGAATTCAGTGGTGAACCCACAAACCAGGATCCCTCATACCATAAAACTTTAGACTTCAATTACAATTCAGATAAGAGCTAAGAAGAAGATAAAGAGATTACTGTCCTAGAGAACAAGGGGGTGGTGACAGAACATCCCTATTTTACAGTGCTGGGAATCAAACCCAGGGTGTTGCACATGCTAGGCAGGTGATCTACCTCTGAGCCACATCCTCAGTCCTGAACATCACCTATTGTAGATAGAAGATGAAACCAAACTGTACATACATGTTAAAGGAAGAATTAGATGTTTTCTGGGAAATAAAGACAAGCATGGCTGGATATATGCAGGTTTAGTGAAAGAGGACAGTTACAAAGCACTCTGTAATATGAGTTGTGATGAACTCATTAGATATTTGTTATGTGGCTTCAGAAATCCAAAGACCTGTAAGACTCAGTTGAGTGTAACAGTCATATTAGGTGAGTATCTCCCCTTTCCCTAGGGATGGAACCTACAGCCTTCACACTGATATACAACATCAGCTCTTTTACAATTTTTTTTTTAAATTTTAAGGCAGAGTCTCTCTAAATCACTGAGTTGCCCAGGCTGTGCTAGAACCTGTGATCCTTTTGCCTTGGCCTCCCTGAATCCTGGAATTACAGGCATGCACCACCACACATGAACAGGCATACATATGCAGCCATATATATGGCTTCTTTTTAGTAGTAGTTTGTCCATGGTATAGATGAAGATCTAAATGATAATAGTGGTTGATGAAGTTATAAGTAACTACAGACCAGATTGGAAAGTAGCCTAAATGTCAAACTGAAGAACTAGATTTAGTTCTGTAAGCTGTGTGATTATAAAATACTATAAGGAATTTTTTTTTCTTTTTGAGACAGGGTCTTGGTATGTAGTTCAGGCTGTCCTTGAACTCACTGTGTAGCCCAGGCTGGACTTGAACTCACGGTGATCCTCCTGCCTCAGCCTCCCAAGTGCTGGGATTACAGGCATGCACCACCACGCCCAGTTTAAGGGAAGAAATTTTTAAATCAGAAAGCATTCTATCCAGAGATTAGTTTGTAAGGATTTTAAGTTTTTGCTCTACTTTAAAAGAACCCAAACTAGAATGGGTCATACTTGAGATTTTTGTTAAAAGGTGGTACTGAACAGATCCACAGACCAATTCTCAGAGAAAAGGCTGACCTTTTGTCAGAGTTTGGCAAACAAGTATATGTTTGCATATTTAAATTAAAGCATTTAAAGTATATATCTTGGAGAGGGGTATTGGATATTGAACCCAGGCCTCATACATGGCAGGGAAGCACTCTAAACTACATTTGTAGCCCATTTTAAAATTTAATTTTGGGATAGTGTTTTGCTAAGTTGCCAGGCTGACCTTGAGCTCACCGTCCTGCCTCAACTTCCTGATTAGGTGGGGTTACAGGAATGTGCCACCATGCCCAGCAGTATATATCATTTTTATAGTTCCCTTCTTTAATCTCTTTTTTGTGGTACTAGAGATGGAACTCAGGACTTTGCGCTTGGGAGACAGGCACAGTGCCACTGAGCTAAATCCCCAGCCCTTAACCTCTTGACTAGTAATCTATCTTTTATATCAGGCAGAACTTCTAGTGTAATATCAGTGCTAGAAAAGATTTGAAGCAAGCATACTTATTCGGTTGCTGGTGGTAATGCGGTTACTTTTAAGAAGTTCTGGGGCGGGGTTTAGCTCAGTGGTTTCGCTGCCTGCTGCACAAGTGCAAGGACCCGAGTTTGATCCCAGGTACCCCCAAAAAAGAAGTTTGACACACAGCTGTGTGTGGTGGCACATGCTTATAATCCCAGCACTGGGAGGCTGAGGCAGAAGGATCGCTGCCAGTTCAAGGCCAGCCTGGGCTCCATAGTAAGCTTAGGTCCATCGTGAACTGCACAGCGAGACCTGTCTCACACCTCTCTCCCACCCCCACCCCCCAAAAGTTATGACACATGAGGTAGGAAGATTGCAAGTTCAAGCTCAGCCTGGACAATTGAGCGACTTAGCAAGACCCTGTCTCAAAATAATAAATTATTTAAAAATTGATGGGAATGTACCTCAGTGCAAAGGCCTTAGGTTCAATCCTCAGTACCCCCCTCTGAAAAAATACTAGTAACAACATAGCTACTCCAGAGGCTGAGGCAAGAGGATCTCAAGTTTAAGGCTACCTGTATACTGCGGGCCATGGTGATGCATGCCTGTAATCATGGCACTAGGGAGACTAAGGCAGGAGGATTGCTGCAAGTTCAGGGCCAGCCTGGGCTACATCGCAAGACCTTGTCTCAAAAATAAACCAAAGGGTAGGGATAAGTGAGGCCTTGGGTTCAATTCCCAGTACCCAAAAAGTAAAATGACACCAGGAGTTGGCAATATAGCTCAGTGGTAGTGTGCTTGCCTGGCATGTTCAAAGCACGCAGAAAAAACAAAAAAGTGATGACAACAAATTATAATAACCATACAACTGCTCATTTTTTTTTTTTTTTTTCTTTTGGTACCGGGGATCGAACTTGGGTCCTTGCGTTTGCACAGCAGGCGGCGAAACCACTGAGCCAAATCCCCGGCCCGACTGCTCATATTTTTAATCCATTAATCTTTTTTTTGTTTGTTTTTTGTGGGTTTTTTTTTTTTTTTGGTACTGGTGATCGAACTTGGGACCTTTCGCTTTCGAGGCAAGCAGAGGAACCACTGAGCTAAATCCCCGACCCTTTAATCCAATAATCTTAATCCTGGGAGTTTAATGATGTAGTCTACTCTGCTTTTCAAAAAAAAAAATTTTAGTTTAAAAAATGTTTGTTGGCCTGGGGATTTAGCTCAGTGGTTTTGCCGCCTGCTGTGCAAGCACAAGGACCCCGAGTTCGATCCTTGGTACCAAAAAAAAAAAGTTTGTTTGTTTTTTGGTACCAGGGATCGAACTTGAGACCTTGCGCTTACAAGGCAGGTGGCAGAACCACTGAACTAAAGCCCTGGCCCAAAAATGTTTTTTTAAAAAATAAAATAAAATGGGCTGGGGATTTAGCTCAGTGGTTCCGTCGCTTGCCTTGCAAGCACAAGGACCCGAGTTTGATCCCTGGTACCAAAAATAAAATAAAATAAAATAAAATAAAATTTATTTAAAACTGATAGATAAGACATAATTGTACATATTAATAGGATGATATGATAAGTGAACACATGTAGTAATGTTTAAATCAAGGTAAACATCTGTTTTCTCAAATATTTATAATTTCTTTATGGTGAAAACTTTCAAAATACTTTCTTCTATCTTTGTGAAGTGTACAAAACATTGCTGTTGTTAGTAATCACCCTACCGTGCAATAGCATAGCACAACTTCTTGCTCCTCTTTGTGACGTAATAACCAGTGATTAACCTTTTTCCATCTCCACCTCCCTTTATTATAGTGAATCGCCATTAACCACCATGCTTATTTCAAGTTCTGTGAGATTTTTTATTATTTATTTTAATGCTGAGACTCAAACCCAGGATCTCATATATGCTAGAAAAGTACTTTGTCATTGTCAAAATGTTTGGTTTTTGAGACAGGGTCTCACCATGTAGTTCAGGCTGGTCTTGAACTCACTATTGTAGCCCAGGCTGGCCTCCAACTTGTGAAGATCCTTCTGTCTCAGCTTCCTGAGTGCTGGGATTACAGCCCTACACCACCACACCTAACCAATAAAAAAATTTTTTTTCTTTTTTTCGGGTACCAGAGATCGAACCCGGGTCCTTGCGCTTGCGAGGCAGGCGGCAGAACCACTGGGCTAAATCTCCGGCCCCAATAAAAAAATTTTAATGGCAAAATACATGCCTGGTAAAAAAAAAAAAAAAAAAAAATACATGCCTGGTATATAATTTTAAAATGCTAACCAAATGTGGTGACGCACACCTGTAATCTAACACTTGGGAGGCTGAGGCAGGAGGATTGAGAGTTGACAGCTAGCCTGGATTTAGCAAGTTCAAAACCAGCCTGTGCTACATAAGCAAGACCCAGCTGCTTCGACTGGAATATGCTATTTGGAGGAGGATTTATTAGATTTATGCTGCAGTATGAGGGAAAACCAGGCACTAACTGACCCCCAGTGATCTGTGAGAGGCTGCTTATATAAGATGCTTACAGGGTGTGAAGGACCCCCTCTGTTTCTTGACTGAGGGCTGCAGAGGGGTGGAGTCATCCATCATGAGTCTGTGACTGCAGTATCTCCTGGAGCTGTCAGGGAGGCCTGATGTAGCCATGCTGGCTGCAGTGTGCTGGAATAGCCACAGAAAAATAAAAAGTCCCTCTTGGGAAGTGTCAGGCCTTCTCTTCTGTATCAGAGCCTCCTTTGCACAAGAGACCCCTGAGATGGCTCAGGAGGAAAGACAAGAAATGCAGAGATCAGGGCTGACGATGTAGCTCAGTGGTACAATAATCCTCCTGCCTTAGCCTCAAGTGCTGGGATTACAGCCATGTACCACCATGCCTAGCAGAGATTCCAAGAACTTTTTTAAAAAAAATTAATTTTATTGGTACATTTTAGATATACAAAGCCCAAGAACTTTTATGGCCCTTCAGAGCTGTTTCATTTAACAATGTCGGATAAATTATTGAGTCTCAAAAGTGTTTTGTAAATATAAGACCTGCACATTTATTTCTGACTAGAGGCAAATGTTTTATGCATGTATATTGCCCTGTTCAACATTTTTTTAGGACTAGGTGTACTTTATTAGCGATGTTAAAAGTTGTGCGTCAAGAATTTTGTAGTTGTTTAGGTCCGGTTAGCTCAGTGGTTTCGCCGCTTGCTGCGCAAGTGCAAGGATCCAAGTTCGATCCCTGGTATCAAAAAAAAAAAAAAATTTTGTAGTTGTTTAGCATTGTTTTGTTTTCCTTGCCCATGACAAAATAAGCAATTTGAGTCATAAAATATTAACATGTACATTGTTCATCTGGGGGTAAAGTACAACTGGCACTGTAATTTAGAGATGGCAGTGACACTTCGTTTTGGCAGTCCTGGGGCTCTAACCCGGGGTGCTGTACCACTGAACTGTATTCCTTGACTCCCTGTTTTACCCAGAGCCTTTCTAAGTTGTCCTGGTGGAACTTGAACATGGAATTCTCCTGCCTCTGCCTCCAGTGGTAGGATTACAGGTGTGTGCCACTGTGCCCAGCTTTAAACGGCACACTTTTTAATAGCACCTTCCAAAGTGGTGTTTGGAATATATCAAACCTTCTCTTTTGGGCCGGGGATTTGGCTCAGTGTCGCCTTTGCCTGCCTCACAAGCACAAAGTCCTGAGTTTGATCTCCAGTACCAAAAAAAAAAAACCAGGGCTGGGGATTTAGCTCGGTGGTTTCACTGCCTGCGCCTGCTGTACAAGCGCAAGGACCTAAGTTCAATCCCTGGTACCAAAAAACAAAACAAAACAAAACAAAAAAACCCTCTCTGCTGCTTCTGTTCCTCAAACTCCCTAGTGGTCCTGAGAACAAACCAGGGCATACCTGGCAAACTGATCTGTTATTAAACTGTGTTGTTAGTGCTACTTTCTAGAGGTTTAAGATTTTTGTTTTTTTTTATTTCGTTTTGTTGTTGTTGATTTAGTACTCTTTATCTTGCATTTTATGTGAAATTTCATCTTTTAAAAACTACATAAAAACTTTATGTACTACGTAAAAACTTTACAAAAACTACGAAAATTTATATCCTTAGCAGTATTTTATGGTTCATAAGCATTATTAGTAGCATTTATTTCACATGCATCATTCTTTGTTCTCAGTTACCTGTATTTTTCTTCCAGGTAGAAAATGTTGTTAGCCCAAATAAATCGGGATTCCCAAGGAATGACCGAGTTCCCTGGAGGAGGGATGGAGGCGCAGCATGTCACCCTGTGCCTCACAGAGGCAGTGACTGTGGCAGGTGAGCAGTGACAGTTGAAGGGATCTTGTGGGTCTGGAAATATCATTTATCTAAAGGAAAAATTCTAAAACACTGTATTTACTTCCCTGGACCTCATTTAGTTAGCAATATCAGAAACCTAGGCCTTTCTATAAGCATTTTTAACTTGATATGAATTCTGGGTATCGTAGGACTGGGAAATATTTTTTAAAATGCTATGAGTTAAGCAACCCTCCTTTTGCTTAATGTTCATTTTTTAAAAATTTAATCAGCATGCCCATACTATGGTTATCTAAAGAAAGTAATTTTGTTTTGTAATAGATGGTGACAACTTAGAAAACATGGAAGGTGTAAGCTTACAAGCAGTGACACTTGCAGACGGCTCTACCGCTTACATACAGCACAACTCGAAAGGTATGCACCCCATTCACAGCTGATTGGTGAATACTGGTGATTTATAACCTCGGAGTTGGAGCCCCTAGCAACATACCTCCTTTCCAGTCTCTCCTAGAGATGCTGCATTGCATGTAATGTATTTTAAATTATTTCAATTTAGCCTGAATTCTGTTTTGATAATTGGGGATACCCTTTGAGAGATTTAGAAAATGCTCAAGGCTAGGGTATCAAAATTAGTTGGGTTGGTTCGTGTTCCTGACCCATTTTTAGTAAGACCTTTCTTTTTTACTTCAAGTTATTATTTAATGTTGTTACAAAACATAAAAGTGAAGACATTTGGTTTTGCTTAAATACCATTGTCTTTGAATCAGTGTTTACTTTGCTTCAGGAAATGGCCATATTCTAAATTCCTTGTTTTTATGGAAACCTACTGAGCACACTATAGACGGGACTATATAGCCCCCAGGGGTGAGAATGACAGTTGGCTTCACAGGCTCTGACACATCTGTGACATACACTGGCGTAGCTGTTCAGCTTCCCCATGGTCAGGGTCACTGCTACTAAGTGGCTCTGAAAGGTATATAGAGGATTGACTTGTGTAGCTTGCCATCATGAGCCACTCTTTCCTCTTAAATTCATCTTATTGAAACTGGAGGGGAGGAAGGATGCCTGAGGGAGGATTTTCTGCTTTCTGTAGGATCACTGGATGTGTTATTGAATTGCCTCAGAACGTTGAGGGAAGAATCAAGATGAACAAACATGAGCTTAAGTAGTGTATGTTTTTATAGTTGACATTATTTTGAAATTGTATAAACCTTTAACTTTTTTTGTACTAATTTATTGACTTGAATCATTTGTTCCAGATGGAAAACTTATTGATGGGCAGGTCATTCAGTTGGAAGATGGTTCTGCTGCATATGTTCAACACGTACCCATACCTAAAAGTAGTAAGTATTTAAGATACAACACAAGAAACCCTCCTGATTCTTAGACTCAGTATTTGCTGCTTTCCACTCTTTCTTACTACTTTAACTTGGCCCTGATTTCTAGTCTTCCTTCTGAAGAGGGAGATCAGTAGTTGCCACAGAGAGGACCTATAGAACATTTTAACTTAGTCAAGACTTTCTCTCAAATATAATGAAGAAGTTGTTCCTGGGGCACCCTCTGGAGATCAGAGGGCAGCAGTCCTAAGTAAAGGTATCTGTTATTTGAGCCAAATCCTGCATATCAACATATCATTCATTTTCCTCTTTTTTCTCCTTCTTTTAACTCTCATCCCCTTGTATGTATTCCTAAAACAAGTATTCTAATTCTTTTTAACCTTTAAGCATTTTCTTTCTTTCTTTCTTTTTTTTTTTTTTCCCAGTACCGGGGATCAAACTCAGGACCTTGCACTTGCAAGGGAGGCGGCAGAACCACTGAGCTAAATCCCTGGCCCTAAGCATTTTATTTTTTATTTATTTATTTTTTTGGTACTGAAATTACTTCACAGTTCAATGACTCATAAAGCAAGTATAGGCTGTTTTGTGTTTAATGGCTGTTGAGTCTGATGTTGCTAAGTAAGTGAATTGGAGTGTGCTGGAAAACCTGGGATCTAAATGTAAGCAATTCCTCTTGAGCAGGGGACAGTTTGCGTCTAGAGGATGGTCAAGCGGTGCAGTTGGAAGATGGGACCACAGCGTTTATTCACCACACCTCCAAAGGTACACTAACTTTGGAAATATGTGGACCATAAGAGACAAATGGAAATGAGGGGAAAATGAGACCTGCCCTTAGCTGCTGAACTGTTGTCATGTGAAAGAATTGTGTTTGTTCTTTGAAATACAAGTTGGCAGATTTGGGTACAGCTCAAGGAGAAACTTTATAACACTTCAAGCTGTCCAGGAATGGTTTGGAATGGCAAACACCATGAACTTCTGAGTCATACTGATAATGCAGTCAAATCCTGGTTTCCGTACATAATGATTTTTTTTTTTTTTTGATACCGGGGATCGAACTTGGGACCTTGCGCTTTCAAGGCAGACAGCAGAACCACTGAGTTAAATCCCCGGCCCAGTAATTCTCATTTTGATGACCATTTCCAGTCTCAAGTGTGTTAAAAAC